TGTCCTCAAACCGCCTTTAAACATGAATTAATTCTCCAGGTTTGCTTTGTGTGTGTCTTTGGTTTGTTATAGTGACTACATCTGAATTGATCTAGCTGTCCTGGTATTTTGTAGCGATACTGCTTTCTATAAGATAAATGGTTAGCTCCCTCCATCAACAATAACACCCTATTATTATAGAAAAATAACAGTCACTACACATGCAAAAGCACACTTTTTGAGCCCAAATAGAAATCAAAATATTTTAATAATTAAGCAGGAATATAACAAAGAAGCAATTAAAGGAACATTTGCTGAAATACTCAATGACAATTTGATATTCAGTTTTCTCGACTCAAAAGCCAAAGCTCATATCTCCACACAGTTTACTTCTGTTAGACGGGAACTAGATGATTTATAAGTTTGTTTTGAGTAACTGGTAGTATGAAAGAGCACATACGAGATGGAAGATCTACAGACAACTAAGAAAAGCTTAAAAGAATCATAGAGAAAAGAGGGTAGCATAAGACACAACAAAGAAGGTAGTTGCAAAGAAGATGGTAACACTTACACCTTACTTGCCTGAAAAACATCTTGTAGAAATATGGGGGGGAAATGGGCTTTGAAGAAGGATATACCTGGGTTCAAATTCTGGTTCTGCCTCCTACTAAATGTGAGTGCTTGGACAAATTACTTGACCTGCCGAAACCTCAGTTTCCTCCTCTGTAAAATGGGTATAATGAATGTCTAGATCACAGGGCTGGTATGAGAATTGGTATGTAAAGTGACAGGTAGTTACTATAAATTGTAGTTATTAGTCTATCTGGAAAAGATTTACTATTGACTTAAAAGTCATGTTGTTTTTTCAATATGAAGTAAAGATAGAATTTCTCATCTAAAAGTTCTACAGAGACTTCTTTTCCTAATTCATCTACCACATTGGCAGAAATTGCATGTAAGCTGTACTTGGCTAAGTCTGCTCCATTCATCTGTCAACAAGATTCTGGCCTTCAGATGGAGTTGACAATCGTTGAAGGTGAATGGAACAGAACAGGCTGCCCAACAGCATCGTATTTCACACTTCAGAGGGTCCTACGCTCCCAACAATAACATCATCTCTCTGTCAGTCAAGCACAATTATGGGGCTTGATAGACTGAGACAAACAAAAAAGCAAGTTAAAGCAGGTCTCTGGACGCCTTTCCGGCTACGGTTGTATGACTTGTTTGATTCTGTTTCCTGTGAACATTAGAATGGCACCTCCTTTGCGGACAAAAGGACAGAGAAACCTCGTCCCCCATTGACTCTGTAAAGGTCAAAACTAGTGCAAAATTTGCTACATTTGAAAACCCTGAAGTCGTTCTGTAAATTTTGATCATACTCTTTGCTTCTTATTGAAACACAAATGTATTTTTAAGATATCCAAAATAGAAGGTACAATTTCATGCCATCTGGAATCAGGTAACAGAATGGTCAGACAAATCATTCTAGCAAACACATCTGTGATATCTGAGTTAGGCGCTCAAAGCACTTGCCTAGATTCCTTTAGAGCAGTGTTTTAATACATGTTACCTTTATGAGAAAGAAAATAGGAAAAAGCACCTGATATTCACATAAAAATAAATTACATACATTATCATAAAATTGCTCCACTGCAGCCTTTTATAGTGGAGACTCCTATGGTAGCAATATCTTTTTCTCAAAATAGATAAGGCTGAGTAGTAAGCTGAACAGATTCCTAAAGAGTAGATTGACGTGTGAGATCTAATTCAAGCTGTATTTCAAGTTTTAAATTATAAATGATTTCAATATGCAAGATACAGAAACTGACACAAGAAACACCTTAGCCACACATAATTCTAGTGTGATATATACAAGGTTTCCAAAAAATATCAAATGAAGATGTAGGGCCCAGCCCCATGGCCGTTGAGTGTGTGCGCTCCGCTGCTGGTGGCCCTGGGGTTCGGATCCTGGGCGTGCACCAACACACCGCTTCTCCAGCCATGCTGAGGCCGTGTCCCACATACAGCAACTAGAAGGATGTGCAACTATGACATACAACTATCTACTGGGGCTTTGGGGAGAAAAAGGAGGAGGATTGGCAATAGATGTTAGCTCAGGGCCGGTCTTCCTCAGCAAAAAGAGGAGGACTGGCACGGATGTTAGCTCAGGGCTGATCTTCCTCAAAGAAAAAAAAAAATCAAGATGTAAATGTAAGGTTGCTAAATTAAATTTTATCATTAAGTTTTTTTTTTTAACCTTACTTGAGAGTAGTACTTTGGGAAAGCAATGAAAAAAGGTGACTCCCAGTGACAAAAGAGATCTGCCATTGTCCCTCAGGCCAGTCAAGCTTTCGTTTGTTTGCTTGTTTTAATGAGAGCTCTAGTGTTGCCTTTGGCACTACTGACCACACTTCACAACAAAGTGAGAGTGAATGCCAAGAAAACACACATCAGGACACCAGGTTACACATCACAATCTCTCCGTCCACGTGAAGCCACAGAACCACAGAAGCTCACGGCTAGAAGGCGGTTCCAGGGGTTTACCTGACACAGGTTCTGTGTCACGGATTGCTCACCAGAAGCAAGACAATTTAAGTGCTCAGACGACCACTGTGCTTCGCATTTCATTTACAGAATGGAGGCAAGGACAATTGAGAAAATGGCAGCATAAGCTTTGATACTTTATCCAATTTCTTATTTGTGGAGAGAGGTAAATAATTTAAAACAAAACACACAAAATTAGGGAAATGAAATTTCTCTAAAAATAAAATTACGGTAACTTTCAGATTTCAGTTCATCAAAAAGAAGTGGAAGAAAAAAATACACATAAAATTAAACGATGCTAAAAACAGCAAGAGTATGGTCACTACAAGTTATAATTGTCAATAATTGGATATTGCATCTCAATAAATATATCATTGATAAACCTATTTAATCATGATCTTGCCACTGTTCATTAACTTTTATTCAGATGCAAGAAATATGATGGTAATATTCTATAAAGCCACTTACTCTAAAGCAAAATTTGTTGAAAGGCAAATAATTCTTGAAAATCATATATAGGGGTTTAGAAATTGGAGGCTCAAGAGGATTTCATTATAAGATATTTCACCCATGATATAGGGTCCCAACTACTATGATAAGACTCCACTGTATTAGTGAAAATAGCCTAATCAATATATATTTTTTTCTCTTTTTCACAATCAGTGGTTTTCTATCTTACCAAATGCGAGTGACTTGAATTATCTTTTAGTCAGCATGAAAACTCATGATGATACTTTATTTCTTGGATTAATGCAGTTTGCTAAACACATAACTTTCTAAAAATGCAGTTGAGATGGGCAGTATTAACACTTGTTTTATAAATTAGCCACTTAAATTTTTTGGTCATGCTTTTATTGTATGTAATTATTTATATCAAGGAATACGATTTGACCTATGGCCTGCCTAACCTGTGTGACAATGAGACATGTTATCACACGCTTATAATTCATAAGCAATAGGGATAATTGGTGAGCGGAAAGGGTTTAAAATCAGACATTATCAATGAATTCCAACTTTGCAAACCCTCTCTAATGGTGCAACCATTGACAATTAACCTCCATGAGCCTTAGTTTCCTCACTAAACAATGGGAATGGTAACATCAGAGGACTGTGTGAGACAAATGAAAGTATGTCTGTAAAGTGCCTACAATATGGCCTGCCATATACTAGGGGTTTAAAACATGTTAGTTCTCTTTTCTTTTTACATAAGTATGTAGGGAACCTGGACTAACAGATGACCCCAAGAAAGCAAGAGCTACACGGCTGCCTAAATTTGTGAAGGACCAAAGAGGAAACACTAGAATCCTGAATGTCACCATAAAGAAGAAATGAGATTTAACGACCTCTTGGCGTGCCTAATACTTACACAAAAAGAAGCCTTGAACACTCTATTCAGATCTCCAGAGTTGCCTCTGGGTAGTAGTGGTTTGTTTCTAGTTTTAAAGACAGAGGCTTAAATATGAAGCCAAAAAATAAGTCTCCTAGACCTGGGGCATGCCATCTGCCTAGCATTAAGCAAGAGCTGAAAGTCAGTTACAGAAGCAAAGTCATTTCTAACATGATTTATGTTGCATCCTTGAACATGGCAGGAAGACTGCAAAAGATATTTGGAAGCCAATGCTTCCTCCGAATAAAGTAAACGAGTATATGCTAAGCCTGTCTCCCCGGACCATGCTGGCCTGTTAGATAAGTTGCCAATGTGGAGTCTGTGAATCTTGGAGCAAACTGGTTATTTGGGATGAGGAAATATCTCAAGGCCAATGATCGCTGCTACCGTAAATGTACGGTGCACAATACAAACACTGGGGTCAGACAGCAGATATCCAGGATATTACTCAAAAACACATCTAGCTCAAAGCTGACAAGATAATCTGTTCCTGTGAGTGCAAAGCACACTGGAATGCTGCAGCTATGACCCACTCAAGGAAAGGAAAAAGCAAGGGCATCTCTCCAGGGGCTCCATCTCAGGCTCTTCATGCAGGCAAAGCTCCAACAGACTTCAAAGGAGTGTAGCCTAAGGAGCGAGGACTGGACCAAGCCCATGGAGGGGTATCACTTCCACGATCATATTGCCATCTACATTTGGTGGACTGGCAAATGCAAATATTTCAGATACAAGTTTAAACAGATGAAAAAAGAAGTGTGAAATAGCTTGGAGATCTGCTTGCAAAAGAAACCTCAGAATTCCAGGAGAATCATTTAATACCAGGAGCTTCGTAAGTTATTCCAAAAGACCCAAGAGAGTAATTAGTGTGTGATCGTATTAAAAATAAAAATTTTTTTAATTGACACATACTGCACTCCAACATATCCAAAACAGTATACTTAAAAAATAATTTCCCAAAGTTAAGTATTCTTAAAAGGTCAGTAACATTTTTCTAATTGGAATATAGACTATATTTTGATGTTTTAACAAAGTTTTAACATACGTGATCCTGATTAATGTAGAAGAGCCAAAATGCAGCAAATATACTTACAGGAGGACCTATGGCGGGGGGTGGAGAGAGTAAGAAAAAGAGAGAGACAAATTAGTGAATACGCAAAATATTGAGATTAAATGAAAGATTAAAGCATTGTCATAATCATCAACACAATACAAGAGACATAGAAGTCATTTAGAATTCAGTGATTCTTAATCTTTTTTTAGGTCATGGACCCTTTGAGACTATATCAGAAAAATGCATTTACATTTATCTGCACACAAAATTTTACGTGAAATTTCAAAGACTATCCAGATTCCTCGAGGCCTGTTTATGGATTACTGAGAGGTGCATATACCTTAAGCAAAGACTGTCTGATTTATATACCTCAAAGTTTAGATAAAATGTGAATCAGGAGAATCTTTGGTCGCTTATGATAGACCAGTTATAGAGAATTGATACACAACATCCTTAAGTTTGGTAAAATGGCTAAATCAGAAATGTATCCATTGTTTGTTCTAAGAATGTTTTTCATTCAGTAGTATTGTCAATATATAAAAGACTACGTCCTGATGTTTATATGTTTCTTTAAAACTATGTATTCTCATCAAAACACAGGCAAAGTCTAAGAAAATTTCAATACTTTACACACCATATGCTTAATTAAAACACCAATTCTAAGGAGCCAGGAAATTGGGAATTGACTTTCATATTTTCTGTAAGACTTTACACAAAGACAAAATTTTCACTGTTTTTTTCAATCCTCTTTCTTTTGACACAAAGAACAATTCAGTGATTATTTGACTCTACCAATAGTTTATCATTTTTTTCCTCAAAACAAGTTTTTAAAGCATCCTCATAATATAAAACTCTGCACCTAGTGAAGGGATATCTAAACAAGTTTCCATTACTTAGACTCAATGAGGATTAAAGACAACTTTTGAGAATACTCTTAAAGGAATTAAGCAGGTACGCAGCCTAAATTATTGAATTTTCATAAACCCTTTTAACTTTGACATCTTTTTTCCAAAAGGAAGAGGAAATAAGACCCAAAACATCAATCTGCTGCCTGCTCTTTATGATAGGTTAGTATTTCCACTGTTTCAACACTTAGTAATCGGTTGTGTTTAATACTGATAAATACTTATAGAAAATATTGGAAAATAACATTTCTTAGCACATTAGAATCAAACCTTAAACTACCTTCCTCTCATCTTGCAAGGAAGAATTGATGGCCTGATAAGACTTCTCATGGTATATATTTTTGGAGTCTTAGACTTTATAAAAGAAATAAAACAGTAAGTAAACTCACTCATTTGGATATCTTGGTTTCAAAAAAATTTTTATTTGACTTTTCTGCTTCACTTTGCATGTAAGTATTTGGCCTGAAAGCACAGACTCACTGAAGTTGGCGTCAGAACAATTGGTTGTGTTTCAAGTTCTGCTCATAAAAAACTGCACGGCCTTGGCCGAATCACCTGCCTGCTCTGGGCCTCCGTTTCCTCAACCACAAAATGAAAATGCTGGATTGATTACCAAGGCGGCTGTCATCACTAAAATTCTACAGTTATACAAGAGGAATAAAAATTCTCAAATTTTGAAAAGAATGAGAGTAAAAGCATGACAAAATTGTACCAGTTGGATAAAATAACAATAAAGCTTTCCAAGACATGTGCCCCAGTGTCCCCAGGCAGATGTTTTCAGAGAGAAACCACGTTCACTGACCACCTCCAGAGATGGAGGCGGGGAGGATGCTGCCACACTGTGCGCAGCTGAGAAACCCTCCGATGTACACAGAAAGAACAGACTGAATTTGATACAGTCAATAAGCCAAACCTGGGTGCCCGTGGTTACGAAACAAATAATGTTATAAAATTAATAATATTTTGTAAACTTCTCCTTACTACAGTTTGATAGAAATAAGCAGAAGATAACATTCTAGGTCTGGCAGAAAAGATTTACACACACACAAGCGCACATGCGCAACCTCTAACAAGACAGTGTAATCATTAATTAGGAGGAACAGATGCAGGGACCTAACCAGAACGTGAATGACATAGAGCAGCTGAAAGAGAGACTTACCAGATTCTCCTCTTCGGCCCCTCTTACCTCGTTTCCCCGGAGGGCCTGAAACACAAAGAATAATTTTTTGAGTGTGATTTAACTTTTTTTTTCCTGGTTCCAAAATGGCTAGTAAATAATTTCTATATATTTTATCACTGTTTTTAACTAACAACTTGAAGAAAGGGAGCAGATATTTGTAAAGGCCAGCACTGTCTTTGGTATTTCAGCATGACTCTTAAGCTTCATTTAATTATAAAAGCTACACTAGATTGCTAATCATCTAGTGTTACTTAGGAACACTAAAGATTCAGAATTTTTATTCATCCTGCCTAGATATCATCAATAAAGAAAGGCTTGCTAAGCAAACTGGTGGTGTTGAGATTTCAGGTTTCTTAGGAAAATTTCTTTTCTGAAGGTTTCAGTATACTAACAATTAAAATTTCTAAGTACAAATGACTATAGTTTCTCTTCAGTCAGGTCCATCACGATTCTCTTGAAAATATTTAGTGGGCAGTTAATTAAATGTATATATTAGTAATGGAAATAATACTTACAAATTTTTCTATTTTATTAAATGTGAATATACACATATTGGAATTTCTCTAATTGAGAACCAGCTGAGTTAAAATCACACCCTTTTAACTGGAAAGTGTTTAGGTAGTAACTATATGCCTCATTTTTCTAAGGGGCTAGCTCGTTATTGTCGTTCAATAAATATTTAGTCTTTATGATGATCCCACTTTAAAATTGGAGGAAAAACTTCTGTTTTTTTCAGTGAGTTGCCTATAAAGACCACCAAGCTGGTATGTATCAGACTTAGCACAAGATTCTAGACATTCATGGCTTTCAAGCCATTATTCTCAACTATATAATTTCTGCCCTCATTTCCTTGGGTAGGAATAGCTCCCACTGAATTATGGTTCAGGCAAATAGAAGAGAATAATTAGCCCACAATGAGAATTGAGGTCTTAAAATATTTGCTGGAAGAAAGAGGCCAAGGAAAACACAGAACTGCCTGGTTTTAAAGAATGAGCTGCTAAGTTGGACTGATGACTTCCGAACTCTAGAAAATTCAGGACACAAGCAGTACAGGCCTTAGCATCCAGCTGACTCTCAATGAGGCCCTGAGCTACTGACTTCCACATGGAAACCCTATCGTGAGAAACAAAAACATCGGTGAGCCAGTTAGTTTCCCCTCAAGCCCATACACAGAACAAGTTTGGCCATCTGTGTTTTGTAACAGGTTAAAAACAACCAAACAATAAAACTAGTTGAAAATATTAGGAGAAGCAGCTTTACAGCAGAATCCAAAATGGTCATTAGAAATTTTAGGTTTCTTTCTGTATTCTGGAATAAAGAGAAGTTTTAATCATACTCAAGGTATGCTTGCCAGATTGAGAACAGAAGGAGAATCAAATAAATAGGTAAATAAACCCAATGGGACATAATAGGTATGAAAAATATACATTTATACACACACTCAAACACACACATACACAGATATATATTGACATATTCTGATATATACAATGTCCTTAAGATTAGGAGTCAGATTTTTTTCTATTACAAAATCACATAAACTAGGAAGTATTTAGCAACTACTACAACTTATGATGTCTCTCAGTCTGCACAGTAGGGGTTATAGGTCACATATAAGACGTATACCTGCCCTGTAAAGGCAAAGAAGTTGAAAAGATTAAAAGATTACACATGAAAAATTGTTAGTAGCATGTTGTGAAGATGTACAACGAGTTTATGCTCTGATTTGTTCCTTCTACTCAAAACACATGGTCAATTATAAAAATGGAAAAGGTTTTTAGATGAATTTGTATTCAAAAAAGAAATGGGCACGTCCACAGGCCAGAAATGGACCAGAATGCAAAGTGGAGAACAGGGATAAAACCATGAGCCTGCTGGGTTCCAGTTCTAGAAGTAGGAATGGTGGCTGCAAGTACTATCCCTGGAGAACAAATACTCAAAAGTTCCCTAATCAGAGCCAGACTCACTTCTTCAAGCCAGCGGCTTGGAAGTGCTGAAGACCTGGGTCTCTGTCTTAAAGATTGAAGAATATAGACATGATCTCTCAATCAGAAAAGGAAGTATGCTTCTGCTGGTTTGATGCCTAACTCTACGGTACCTCCAACACAACTCAGGGACAGGAGTCCTAAAATGCCACTTTAAGACCAGTCTGGTCTGGAAGGCTGGGAGGTCAGGTAAAGACAAACACAGAATGGTAAGGTAAGAAAGGGTAAGCACAGAGGAAAGAAAGGCTGACACACACACAGAGAAAACTACACTAAAAATAATAATAATAATAAATACCTCATACTCATAATGAGTATACAAATCAAAATTCTAAATCACATGAAGAAATCTAATGCTAAGAAAGGCAGCACTCAACAAGAGGATCATGAATTCTTTCCAGGTATTATTTTTAAGAAATCCTCAGACACAGGTCAGTATATTAATCATGCTTTAAGAGATAAATGAAGATGTAACAGCCAGTAAAGAGCGAGGGATTTTAAATGTAAATTGGGGAAAAAAAGAACAAATGGATTTGAAAGATAACTCAAGAAATCTTGAAAACGAAAAATATAGTCATTGAAATCTTTTAAAAATATAAATCAATTAAATGCTAGCCTAGATATGGCTGAAGAGAAAATTGACATGAAAGATGCAAAATGCTGCCCAGAGAGACAGATCCAATCTCTCTCTCTCTCTCTCTCTCTCTATTTATCTATCATAGTCTGAATATTAATGTGCTCCCAAAATTCACATGTTGAAATTCTAAGCCCCAAGGATGATAGTATTAGGAGGGGGGGCCTTTGAGAGGTGCTTAAGTCATGAGGCTGGAACCCTCATGAATAGGATTTGCACTCTTATAAAAGAGACCCCAAAGAGCTCCCTAGCCCCTTCCACCGTGTGAGGACACAGTGAGAAGGCACCAGCTATGACCCAGGAAGAGGGCCCTCACCAGACGGTGACTGTGCTGGTGCCTTAGACTTCCCAGCCTCCAGAACTGTGAGAAATAAATTTCTGTTGTTTATAAGCCACTCAATCTGTGGTATTTTGTTAGAGCAGCCCGAACAGACCAAGATGCTATCTATCTATCTATCTATCTATCTATCTATCTACCTATCTATCTATCTATCTATGTTAAGAAGCTAAATTTTACTTTCAATAAGAGAATCCAAAAGAAATGATAGAGAGGGCTTTGTTTAACAGATAAAAGATGAGAATTTTCCAGAATTGAATACAGCAGTCCTAAGATTGAACTCATACTCCAAGTGACAAGTAAAAATAAATCACACACAAATTTAGGAATATTCAAGGATAAAGAGAAAATGTTAGGAACGACCAGGGGAAAATTACAGCTGAAGTTAGTTTGACTGACTGCTGTCTCATCCAGGACAAAGGTGCCAGAACGGCCCAGTCTGATTTTTATGACAATCTTAGAAGCCTATAATTATTATTTGTTTATTGGAATTAGTTTTTCATTTTCCTTCTGAAGAATGTTCCTTTTAAACAGTAGAATTTATCAAATAAAAACAATGTGTTTAAAAATAGTTTGAAATAAACAATTTTTAAAAGATAGATTATTAAAAAATCATCAAAGAAACCATGACATCTTTTGAAGAAATCAAGAAACAAAAGTTAGAATATTTCTGAACATGTCTGCCTTGAATATTCACTCAGAAGACTTAAAGAAATGAATCAAATGCTGTGGGAAATCTGGTTGTTATATTGAGAATTGAGAAGGAATAGAATCTAAGAAAACTGAAAAGATATTTGGTAAGACAGCTATCTATTGAATATGACAAGGTTTTACAAAGAATTTCATAATATTTGAGAGAGAAAATGAAGCCAAACTAAGTTATGAGAAGATGGGAATCTAAACTGTTGGATTTACAAAGAAAATGCTAGATTTGAGAAGAGCATGTTATAATTACTATAGGAAACAGAAGACTGGAGTGAGCATTATATTGAGCTTAGTAAACTAATATATTATACAAAACTCTCAGAAAGACTTAAATAAAGATATTTCTTACAAAGAGAATAAAGAGAAGTTTTGAAGACGTCTACTGTGCAGACGAGACAACTTGATATTGCTTCTGAATTTAACGGCAAAAATAATAAAAAATGGGGGGCCAGCCCAGTGGTGCAAGCAGTTAAGTGTGTGCGCTCCGCTGCGGCGGCCCGGGGTTCGCCGGTTCGGATCCCGGGCGCGCACCAACACACGGCTTGGCAAGCCATGCTGTGGCGGTGTCCCATATAAAGTGGAAGAAGATGGGCACGGATGTTAGCCCAGGGCCAGTCTTCCTCAGCAAAAAAAGAGGAGGATTGGCAGATGTTAGCACAGGGCTGATCTTCCTCACAAAAAAATAAAATAAAATAAAAATAAAAAATGGGATGGATGGGATAAATTTGACAATGGACAGCTGGCAATTCACCAGAGTGAGAAGATGAAAAATTAGAAGAGACAAACGATAGATGTTTCCCAAGCAAAACCAATGTTAACAATAGTTGGAAAAGTTAGCAACCATTTCCATTCCAAATTGAGCAATAAAGTTTCAGCCAGGCATGAGCTGTAAGAACAAATATAGAAGCTGGAACCTGACTCTTCTTCACTGAATCTGGCCAGATCCTTGCAGCAGAAATTCTCAGTGAATTCTATCAGCAGAAAGACATGACTCTGCAAAAGAAACTAGTTCAAGAATATGAACGGGAAGAGAAAAAGCAGAAGCTATCAGCAACAGACGAAGTGAAAATCTACGAGCAGAGAATTCATGAAGAATGAATTATAGAAAACAGAGAAAGGCTATAAAACCACATTGTTCTTCCTGATAAGAAAATTCATGACAATTGGTACTGTTTACGCTTTAACAAGAGTTTTTGCTTGAAAGATGATGCAAACTGTCAGCCTGAGATAGATATTAGTAAAAATTAGCCATAATGGTAATACTTTAAAGACCAGTGTTGACAAACCCAACTGCAGACAGATCCAAGTCATCAAATTACATCATAGCCAGGTGTCTTAAGCCAGCCAGTTCTTCTGGC